CCTGTGACTCTGATCCTGCGTGTGAGGGAAGTCATGTCTGACAGGATCTCCCCTGTTACCGTGATCGTGCGTGTGAGGGAAGTGATGTCTGACAGGATCGCGCCTGTGACACTCATCCTGCATCGGGGTGAAGCGATGTCTGACAGGATCTCGCCTGTGACACTCATCCTGCATGGGAGTGAAGCGATGTCTGACAGGATCTCGCCTGTGACTCTGCTCCTGCGTGTGAGGGAAGTCATGTCTGACAGGATCTCCCCTGTGACTCTGCTCCTGCGTGTGAGGGAAGTGATGTCTGACAGGATCTCGCCTGTGACTCTGATCCTGGTTTGAGGGAACTGATGTCTGACAGGATCTCACCTGTGACTCTGATCCTGCGTGTGAGGGAAGTCATGTCTGACAGGATCTCGCCGGTGACTCTGATGCTGCGTGTGAGGGAAGTCATGTCTGACAGGATCTCGCCTGTGACTCTGAACCTGCGGGTGAGGGAAGTGATGTCTGACAGGATCTCGCCTGATACCCTGACCCTGCGGGTGAGGGAAGTGATGTCTGACAGGATCTTGCCTGATACCCTGATCCTGCGTGTGAGGGAAGTGATGTCTGACAGGATCTGGCCTGTTACCCTGATCCTGCGGGTGAGGGAAGTGATGTCTGAGAGGATCTCGCCTGAAACCCTGATCCTGCGGGTGAGGGAAGTGATGTCTGACAGGATCTCGCCTGTCACTTTCCTCCTACGAGTGAGGGAAGCGATGTCTGACAGGATCTCACGTGTTACCCTGATTGTGCCTGTGAGGGAAGTCATGTCTGACAGGATCTCACCTGTTACCCTGATTGTGCCTGTGAGGGAAGTGATGTCTGACAGGATCTCGCCTGTGACTCTGATCCTGCATGTGAGGGAAGTGATGTCTGACAGGATCGCGTCTGTGACACTCATCCTGCATGGGGGTGAAGCGATGTCTGACAGGATCTCGCCTGTGACACTCATCCTGCATGGGAGTGAAGTGATGTCTGACAGGATCTCGCCTGTGACTCTGCTCCTGCGTGTGAGGGAAGTGATGTCTGACAGTATCTCGCCTGTGACTCTGATCCTGGTTTGAGGGAACAGATGTCTGACAGGATCTCGCCTGATACCCTGCTCCTTCGTGTGAGGGAAGTTATGTCTGACAGGATCTCACTTGTTACCCTGATCCTGCATGTGAGGGAAGTCATGTCTGACAGGATCTCCCCTGTGACTCTGATCCTGGTTTGAGGGAACAGATGTCTGACAGGATCTCTCCTGTGACTC